AAAAAAAAAAAGAATCAAAACAAGCTGAGCACAGTGGTTCACGTTTGTAATCTTTGAGGATCTAAAATTTATCTCTTAGACAAATTGTTCCAGAAAATAGAAAAATACAGTGCTATACAACTCATTCTGTGAGGCTTTTTTAGTTTCATAACAAAACTAGACATTAATAAAAGAGGAAAATTCTAGGCCTAAATCACTTATAAACATAGATGCAAAGATTCCAGATAAAAAGCTACCAATGTAGATCTAGTAGTAAGTTTTTTAACATGACCACATTTCCTTTCTTTTTTTTTTCTGAGATAGTCTTACTATGTTGCCCTCGGTAGAGTACCATGGTGTCATAGCTCACAGCAACATCAAACTCTTGGGCTTAAGCTATTCTCTTGCCTCAGCCTCCCAAGTAGCTGGAACTACAGGCATCTACTAGAAAACCCAGCTAATTTTTTCTATTTTTAGTAGAAACAGAGTCTCACTCTTACTCAGGCTGGTCTCAAACTGCTCAAGCAGTCCTCCTGCCTTGCCTTCCGGAGTGCTAGGATTACAGGAGTAAGCCACCACCCCGGCCTACTTGTTTTTTTTGTTTTTTTGTTTTTTGTTTTTTTTTTGAGGCAGTCTCAGTATGTCACCCTCAGTAGAATGCTGTGAAATCACAGCTGACAGCAACCTCAAACTCCTGGGCCTAAGCAATTCTCTTGCCTAAGCCTCCCAAGTAGATGGGATGACAGGAGCCTGCCACAATGCCCAGCTATTTTTTGGTTGTAGTTGTCATTGTTGTTTGGGAGGCCCAGGCTGGGTCTGAACCCTCCAGCTTAGGTGTATATGGCTGGCGCCCTTGCCACTGAGCTACAGGTGCTGAGCCTGGTCTACTTTTTTAATTTGACTTGAGATTAAAAATAAGATTTATATATAGTATTTTATTGAGGCATCCCTTAAGTCTCTAAAATTTTAAATTCCCTGTCCTCTAGTCAGTTTATTTGTTGAAAAATCTGGGTTTGTACTTGTAGAGTTTCCTCTGGTTAAATTTTGTTTATTGTATCTTTATAATATTATTGGATATAGTCTACTTCCCTTATATGTGTCATAAGTAAATAATTAGGTGTGGAAGAGGGGTTTGACAGTCCACAACCTGAAGACCAATTACAGGTCTCCACATTATGTAAGTAACTTTTTCTTGGAACACACCATGTCGTCTGTGGCTCCTATTGCACTTAAGTGGTTGATTTGAATAGTCAAGGTCAGAGACATTATGGCTGGTCACGCTTAAATTATTTATTGTACAACCCCTGGTTTAGAAAATTGACCTGATATCAGTTCAGTTTTTAGCAGAAATTCTTCATAGGTGACGATGGGTTCGACACAGTAGTAAAAGTACCTAGAAAGACTGCCAGGTATGTATGACAGATTGATTAATGACAGAAGTAATTTAAGTCAATGAGAAAAAGATATGCTATTAATGCATGGTGCAAGGACACTTGGCTTTATGTGAGGGAAAAATGTTTAGATTCCTACCTGTCACCACACACACAAAATAAATTTCAGGTTGATGAAAACCCAAAAAGTAAAACTTAATTACAGCAATAGGCAAGTGTACAACTTTTTTGACTTTGTTGCCCTTGGGTAGAGTGCTGTGGTGTCATAGCTCACAGCAACCTCAAACTCCTAGGCTCAATGATCCTCTTGCCTCAGCTTCCTAAGTAGCTAGGACCTGCCACAATGCCTGGCTATTTTTAGAGACAGGGTCTCCCTCTAGCTCAGGCTGGTTTCGAACTCCTGAGCCCAGGCAATCCATCTGCCTTGGCCTCCTGGTGTAGGACTACAGGGGCGAGCCACTGTGCCCAGCCTGTGAATGACTTCTTAAGACACAGAAAGAACAAACCCTGGAGATATAAACATAGTCTGAATGGATCTATTCAGTCTGCAGTCTTAAATATCTAATCTTGTTAGTGCTTATGATATTCTGTAATTTTCCTTTTTTTTTTTTTTTTGAGACAGAGTCTTACTCTGTCACCCATGGTATCACTGTAGTTCATAGGAACCTCAAACTCTTGGGCTAAAGCAGTCCTCTTGCCTCAGCCTCCCATGTGGCTGGGACTACAGGTGTGCACCACTATGCCTAGCTAGTTTTTCTATTTTTAGTAGAGATAGGGTCTCAGTCTGGTCTCAAACTCCTGAGCTCAAGCAGTCCACCCATGTCAGCCTCCCAGAGTACTAGGATTGCAGGTGTGGGCCACGATACCCAGCCTTCTTTTTTTTTTTTTTTTTTTAATTCTATAATTTTCTATTTGCCGGCAATGTTTTATAATTACTTTTAAAGAGAAACCCAGGTAGTTATGCACTCCTTCTTGTCAGTTATTCAGTGGAGCCATTCCTGAGAACTGGAGTGAGTGCTGTGGGTAGGTGGATCAGGTAAGTCATTCTGGTGGGGAACAGTCATGTGTGTTGGGAATTATATTCCTCCAGGAGGCTAAAACACCTGTTGCAAGGTCCACACCCTTTTAGTGTTTTGAAATGGGGCACATTACCACCTGCTGTGTTCCTACTTGTGAGGACATAGTGTCACTAACATTTCATCCTTTATGACCGGTAGTCAGAAAACTCCTGTAAGTGTCGAGTCATCTCATGTTTAAAGAATTTTGCTATTGTAGCTATGGGCCCGATAGCGTCCTGCTCTTTCAGGATTTGTTTCCCATGTTGATTTGTCTTAGATGTTACATCTAGCATTCCCCAAGTTACAAACATCTGACTTATGTACAATTCACACTTACAAATGGAAACTATTACAGTAAGACCCCCAGCTACAAACATGACTGATACAAGTCTCATACTTACATATGGAGGCCATTATAGGTAATAGGTAAATGTACCTGTTCCAACTTACATACAGATTCAACTTAACAACAAACCTATAGAAGCTTTCTCATTCGTAACCTATCTATAGCTAACTATATCTGTAGTTGATAGCTTCAAGTCTGTTCCCTTCTCCAGGCAGCATTCCGGTATTTATACCTTCTTTTCTCTCCCCTGCCAGTAGTGTTGATGGGCAGATCAATGTAGAAGTGTAGTACTACTGAATTACAAGGTGAACCCACTCTTTTGTTTCATAGCAGACTAGGAAAAGTTCACTTATCATCCTTGTTTTTTCAGAACGCACAACACTTTATATGCACCAGAAATGCTAACCAAAATGGCACAGCCTTTCACTAAGGCTCTAGATATGCTTGAAGTGGAAAAATCTGCTATATTAGGTAAGAAATCTAATCTGTTTTTCCCAAAGTTCACTTTATGCCTGACAAGCTGCTTGAGCAGCTTCCCTGTGCCTGTGCCTCTTCCTCATCCAGCACTACCTTTATTACCTATTGGTTGAGAAACATATTGGTGTGGTTACTGCAGCCTCTACAGCAGTGGTTCTCAACCTATGGGTCATTCGACAGGGGTTGCCTAAATACATCCTGCATATCAGATATTTACATTACTATTCTTAATAGTAACAAAATTACAGTTATGAAGTAGCAATGAAAATAATTTTATGGTTGGGGGTCACCACAACATGAGGAACTGTATTAAAGGGTCACAGCATTAGAAAGGTTGAGAACCACTGCTCTACAGGAAGAAGGGTACATACCTTATTACCTCAGTGTACAGATAAGGTCTTCAGAGGCCTCCCTCTTCCCACACCCTGTTTACCTCTCCTTCAGTTACACTAGAAGGTTATGGTGGGTGTTAGATCCATTAGATTATAAGTAAACCATGGCTTTTAACCTGAAGGTTATTGGTATGTTTGTGTGCCTTTTTAAAAACTTTTAGTGGATTCTATTTTATGCCATGTTTTCCAATTGTTCCCTGACTAGAATACTGCTTCGACTCATTTCCCATTGAAAATAAGCATGAAAATTGTGATGTTTGCTATGAGGGAAATTGTTAGGGCTCTGTGCGAGTGTTTATTAGAAGAGCTGGCCCAGTCTTGGAGGGAAGTTAGAAGCTTGCCTCCCAAGGAAGACTAGAAGAATGAGTGGGCACTAGCCAGGATGCGTAGCAAGAAGAGATGCTGGACATTCTAGACAGACAGATGGTAGGTACAAGATCCTGAGACAGCCAGTAAAGAGCTTATGCTATGTTCAGGAAATAAAGAAGGGTGATCATGTGGCTAGAACACAGAAAGGAAGTCTGCAAGAGTGATTAGAAGTTAGAGCAAGAGAAGTTTTAGGCTACTCACCTAAAACTCACCATCACAGTCACCACAGTGTCTTCCCAGCCATAACCTCTGCCTGGGTCTGGCTATAGTCAAGCAATCCAATGAGCATTTCTTAGCTGGGAAGTTAACCAAAGGAAAGGTGTTACTGTGTTTTGCCATATAAAATGTGCTCACGTGTATGACATACACCCATGATTTTGGCCCAGACATTCAGGAAAACACCTCAAGAAAGTGGCCAGCTCTCAGCTAAGAGACATATCTGGGGAGGGCAGGTTATACCGCCCTCATGCAGCCACCTGCTCTGTGAAGGCTGCTCTTTCCCTCTCTTTATCCAGGAGCCCTTCTGTCCCCTCTAGGTTGGGGGCCATGACAGAGATGACAACAAAGGTGGCTAGCAGAACAGGAGCTTCTGAGGTTGCGCAGGCAGGTCTCTAGGGCCTGCTCAGGGCTCTCAGTCCTCTTCTCTTTCCCAGGCCTTAGCCCTTAGCCCTTGCACTACATGGCTGAAGCCTGCCTTTCCAGCCCCACCACTGCCCCCTCCCCACTCAGCAAGGCCACTCTGGCCCACTCCTCCTAGTCTGGATTTGAGATCCCAGCAGGTCCAAGTGCTGTGTCTTCCCATGGCAGC